CTTCTCAAGCAAAAAATTTCTCCATTCCCTTTTGATTTTTGTATTAAAAATTTCTATAAAAATTTTTGTTTTTAGAAATTTTATGCTTATTTTCTTTCTTGATTCTTTCCTCTGTTTAATCTGAAAAATTACTGTAAATAAAAAATAGGCAAGCAAGATCCAAATTGCTCCCTCCTTTGTTGAGGAAAAGCTTTTGGCATATTCTAAAAAATGGGATTTTATAATTGATTTGTGGTTTAAAACCTTGCCAGTTGCCACCTCACAATGTGCGCAACGGCTTTTTCTTAATTTGCAATAATTTAGCAAACGGTATGAAATATGTAATAAGAAAAAATAGAAGTGTCTGATTGCTGACTGAGTCCAGAAGAAATATATTCCCATAAAGAAAAAAAAAAAAAGAAGGCCCAATCACACATTTACCAAATTAACATTAAAATGTTTTTAATTTTAAAATGGACTTAATTTAGCAATTTTGGTTTCTATCTCTTTAGAGTAGGAATAGCAAATGCCATAATCTATCCTCTTAATTTTTTTAATCACTTTTATTTGTACACTTTAATTTATAAATTATCTTATTAAATTTCAATCTATAAAATAAAATTCATAAATATTTATTTTTTATTTATTTGAAAATGTTTCGAATCAAATAACTATTTTAGGCTACATAACATGATAGAGCTGTTAAACGTTGACTCGCTTAAAATAATGGAAAATTATTTATATTCAAGACGATTCAGACATTCAAAACATTTTTTATTATCTCTAAATTTCAATAAACAACTTATTGAATAGCATTAAAAATGTATGACAAATATTATTATAAAGAATTTATGTAACACAACGTCAAATTAATATTTTACATTGTCAAATCTGATTAATTTTAAAAAATTAACCAATTTTGGTGCGGGTATGCAATGAATATAATTAGAAAAAACAAAGGGTCACGTCTACATGTTTTGAAACTTTTGACTGCATGGACCGATACATGGCCATTAATTCGTAAAAAACTTCGGCATTTCGACCTTCTTATTTGATCTGTCTTAATTTTAGAATTTTTAGAAGTTAGAACCCCTTTCACATCGATGTCCTAAAAATATTAATGCATGTGCATGTATATGTATTGCCTTCATGTTTGACATATAATTACATGCATGTTTTTCAAAATTTTCTTCTTTTATTTCAATGAAAGGAAAAACACACAAGGTTCAATTCTCCCAGATGACATGTGTTTGCTTATCTACACACTAAAGATTCCAAAGATTTTGGGTTTATTCAATTTTAGTTTTTCTCTGTGTTACATAATTAGATTTTTTTTTTTTAATTATTTATAATGGTATTATAATTATAATTATATACAAAAATGTAAATTTAAAAAATGTAGCCATTGGATGGATAGAAAAAAAATAACGAGTTAAATTTAATAATGACTAGATACTCCTATTGTTGGACTGTTAAACAAAATAAATAAAAAATTGAATTTTCATTAAAAAGATCTTTTAATCGGGATTAATTATATTGGTTTTTTATTTGAATTTCAAAAAAAAAAAGAAAAAACTAAAATGTATTATTAATCGTTATTTTAAGTGAAATTATAAATCTTAAAGTTTATTATTCGAAATTAATATTTTAGGTCCTAATATTGATTTAGTAAAAATATCTTATTGCACTAGAGAGTTAATTATTTTATATTTAATTTAAGTTACTAAAAAAATTTTTAAAATCATAACTGTTAACAAAAGATCATAGAATGATTAAATAATAAATAATAAAAATTAACATTTACAATTAACCTGCTAATTCTTATAGCTATATTTACAATTTAATTAAAAGAGTTAAAAAAACTTGGTATCTTATTATTTAGATAAGTTTGTTCGTTGTATTTTCTTAATGAATAGAACATACGATTTAGGAATACTCTTGGTTATTTAGGATCATAAAAAATATAAACTCAATTAAAAAATATTCTTTGAATTACCACTTTATTATATATTACCAAAACTTCATGATATTTAAATTTCGTTATAAAAAAAATCACCAAAAAATATTTATTTAATCAACCAATAAAATATTTTATTTTTCTTTGGCAAAGGTTATTATGTATTTTACATGAAATACTTTTTTCCACTTTATATTTTATTTTTTAAGTCTTTAGAGAATTATTTTACTTGGAATTACTATTATTTTATTTTTCCACCGTGTTTATCATAAAGTTTTGGTTTACATGTATGACTTCATTTAATTTTTTTTACCAATATTCATTTATTTTGGTTGAAAAAATTGTAAGATTGGGGAAGCCTTATTTCAAATATTAAATCATTTTCAAAAAAGAAAAAAAATTCAACTTATTTAGATTAAAATGAGTTACCGTTGCTTTTGATGCAAATCTACGTATCTAGTAATGTATATGCTTTTTTTGAAAATTTAAAGTGAATTTGCCATTTTTTTGTTTTTTTGTTTTTTTGTTTTTTTTTTTCTGTGAGTAACCAAAAAGCTAACGCGTGGAAATGGGTGACCATAGATTAATCAAATTATTCATAATTGCGGCTTATAGGAAATCTCGGAAAAGCATATTATGAGAATTATTCCAGTTTTCTGTTTCAGTATTCTACAATAGTGCAACCAAATAGGCTCTCACATCTAATATGCTTCTTATCTATTTATGATTAATGTTCAATTTGCTGAACGATTTTTTTTTTTTTTCCCCCAAAAGTTTCGTTAATATGAATGAAATCACTCGGTATAAAAAATTTATCAATTGTTACTATTCCAATTCCATTTTTAAGAGTATTTTAAGTGCATGTTAATTCATCCGTTCACTTTTTTAGTTTTCATAAAGAATGTAGAAAATTTCAGATTTCACAAATTTAGGTTTTTATTCGGGCCAATTTTAATTATAGTTATTGTAATAATGGTTAGCTGTTTTATTAGTTGTTAGAATTTGTTGTAGATAGCATATAAGGTTAAATAAAGGCGTTTATTTATAACGGCTAAAATAAAAATATTCGGGTAAAAAGTAAACTGTTAATTAGCCGTTTAATTGGCAAACTTGACAAAAAAAAGTTATTAAAACACATATTTGCTTCAGTCAGAAATAAGACAGGATATAAATAGATGAAACGCCCATAGATTAATTAGGGTGGTGGTTTTAAGTTTCAGTTAAAACAGTAAATATTACTCCAAATTGCTTTGCCGATAAAATTAGTGAGTGACGTTTTATACCGGGTTTTTATTTTTAAATCTAATCGGTTTACTTTTAAAGTAGACTTTGAAAATTAAAATTAATAAGAAATGAGTTATCGAAAATTTCATTATAAGTTTATTTTGTATTAAATTTAAAAAATTATATCTTATGTGAAGAATTATAAAAAAATAGACATTTGATATAATGATTATATATAAACAAATTTCGAATGTCCTTTTTAAATTGAATTAAGGTTAATGAAACTTTGATCTAAGGGTATTTACAAAAAATGAAAATAGAAAAAAATACAATTCAAAAAAAAAAGAAAAAAAAATCACATTTTACTGGCTTTCATTATAGTCCAACCCGGCAAGCTTTTAAATCGACAGTTGCTGCTGTAAACTCTCCCCAATATCGCAGCCTATGTTCTCTGTTCTTTTCCTTCTTCAAAATTGGCTTAGCTAAAGAAGCCAAACACTTAACACTCTCCCAGTCCTTCCCGTACAAGCAATAGCCTCTTGTAAAATCAATTCGTATCTTTCTCCATTAGCTGGACAAGAGAGACCGGAGACCAGACCAGAGCGTTAATGCATGCAATTGAGCCAAACGAATAATGGCAGGAAACGATGGATAAACAGTTACTTGGAAGCAATTCTCGATGTAGGGCCAGGGTCTCGATGATGCTAAATCGGTCTTTGTTGCTTTAAGGAGAAAGAGGAAGGTTCAGCCCTACTGCGATATTTCGTAAGAAGTTATCCACTGGATTGCGATGAGGGAAACTGATCTCCACCGCTCATGGGTTTAAGGTATGTGTCTATTTGTATTTTTTTTGATTGATTGTGATTCATATAGGAGAGTATGTTTTTTGTTTGCAATTAGCTTTGGTGTTTCTGAGTGTTTGTAGGCTCAGGCGACTAGGAAGCCCTCAGGAGAGGAATACCCAGGTTTGGAGAATATGTGTTGGGCAGGATTTTGGAACTAGCTCGTTCAAAAGAAGCAGTTTCTTTTCTTTTTTCTTTTTTTTTTTTGTACTTATATATTATATATATATATTATATATATATATTATATATAGTTATATATATATATTGATTTTTTCTGGGTTTTTTAGAAGATATATATATTGATTTTCTGGGTTTTTTTAGAAGTGTTATTATTATTTTATAAATTTTAAATTTTGCTGGATTTGAGTTTTAAGATTTGATTTCTGGTGTTTCGTTGCGTATAAATCATTGATCATAGCTTATTTGTCTTAATTAGCGGATTAATTGTTTAGTTATTTCAAGTAATTTTTCTTTTGTTCTACTGGTGTTAATGGGATTAATTTGAAATGTATTGATCCTGTTCATGTTTGTTAGTTGGGTCTGATCCATTATGGATTTGAGGACACGTTTGAAGAACAATATAGTGGTCCTCTGTGTGTGTTCCTCTTATGAAAAACTGTTGCTTACTGTTTTTCAAGCTTTCAAGAATCAAGAAATGTTTTTTACTTTGACCCAGCGATAGAAATGTTTGATTTGGTGTTAATTCTGATTTGAATAGTTATAACAATTAGAAAATGAACTGACTATTTTGCTTATACCGTCCCTAGGGAGGGGGCTAAATATATATCCATGGCAAATGCTTAACTTGAATTGTTTGATTCTCATATAAAAATTGTTTCTTTTCCTTTTCTTATTCATTGTTATTAATTTGAACCTTTTAGTTTAAATCTTTTGAATTTTTCCAAATTTCATTGTAACAGAAAATGAGAAAAAGGCATCGTGTTCTAAGCTACCTTACGAGTTATGAATGATCCACGAACTATAAGTATTAATTATTGCCTTTATTTTTTATAGCTTGAGGGAGAGCTTGCCCAAAGACATGCCAAACGCCGTCTTGAACGTGAAAGGGGCCGCAGGGAAGCAACTGCTGATATGTCTGAAGATCTATCTGAGGGAGAAAAAGGAGATGCCATAAGTGATATATCAGCCCATGGTGATAGTAACAGAGGCAGACTGCCTAGAATCAATTCTGCTGATGCAATGGAGGCATGGGCTAGTCAGCAGAAGGGCAAAAAGCTGTACATTGTGTTAATAAGGCATGGACTGAACTTTAGTTTTCCAGTGTTTACATGTAATCATGAAGAGGACTCTGAGGTGTTTATTTGGTCTTGCAGTATTTAGTACAGTTTTTATGGACTTGTGCTTTCTGTATCGATAGACAGTTTGTTTTTATTGTCTATGCATCAGTTCAATAGCTGCTGAAAGGAAATTGCATGGGATATTAAACATGTCCTGATTATGATGTTACGATGCGCAGTATGATTTTTCCGGCATGCAAGTTGACCTTTTATTATCATTTTTAACAAATAGTATCCATGCAGCCTTCATGGTCTCATACGAGGTGAAAATATGGAGCTTGGACGTGATTCTGATACTGGTGGTCAGGTAATATTGTTAATACGAGATTTTGTTTGGTGTGGTCCTGTGTGATCTTGCTCCCCTTTCATATAATCTTTTTATGTTATGACTAGTAATCTTGGGCTTTTCTTTATTTTAGGTTAAGTATGTTGTGGAACTTGCAAGGGCTTTGGGCTCAATGCCAGGAGTCTATCGAGTTGATTTGCTAACTAGACAAGTATCAGCTCCAGATGTAGATTGGAGTTATGGTGAGCCCACAGAAATGCTGACACTTAGAAACTCAGAAGATTCTGAAGATGAGATGGGGGAGAGCAGCGGTGCCTATATTGTTCGGATACCCTTTGGACCAAAAGATAAATATATTCCTAAAGAGCTTTTATGGCCTCACATACCTGAATTTGTTGATGGTGCACTTAATCACATAATTCAGATGTCCAAAGTTCTGGGAGAGCAAATTGCTGGTGGGAAGCCAATCTGGCCTGTTGCAATTCATGGACATTATGCTGACGCAGGCGATTCTGCTGCTCTCCTATCTGGTGCTTTAAATGTGCCGATGCTTTTCACTGGTCACTCCCTTGGCAGAGATAAGTTGGAACAGTTACTAAAACAAGGCCGGCTATCGAGGGATGAAATAAATTCTACATACAAGATAATGCGTAGGATAGAGGCTGAGGAGTTCTCCCTGGATTCTTCTGAGATAGTAATAACTAGTACTAGACAAGAGATAGATGAACAGTGGCGTTTATATGATGGTTTTGATCCAATACTGGAGCGTAAATTGAGAGCAAGAATCAAGCGCAATGTGAGCTGTTATGGCAGGTTCATGCCTCGCATGGCTGTGAGTATTAAGATGTCCTTTCCTTTTTTTGTTTTTTTTTTTTCAAATAACAAAATTGATGATCTTGTAGAAGCTATAATTGCTTAGGTAGCCAATACAGTTGCCAAAACCTGAATAAGCTATCATGCACTGTAGCTTGGCTTATTCTCAGCTGGTTGGGGTGTGTTTATTTAGTTCTTGCCCACTTGGCTAAACCGGGGGCATGTTTAAATAATACAAAAATTGAATGGAAAGAATGATCTCTGCCCATACGAATGCTGGGTGTTAGATTTGTTGCCTACTAAAAAGTGCAGTAATTGTTGACGTTAAGGTCCGATACTGCATTCAGTTTTCTCAAAACTGTTCAAGGAATTTATTTATTGGGAATCATAGGAGAATGTTTATCTAAATTTCATCAATGATAAAACCGGTTTCTCCTTTTACCATCAATTTATCTTTCGAGTTCCATGATGTACAAGTTTATGTAATTAATAAATAAAATCTCATATACACTCTGTTTCGGTTTTTTATTTTGCTGATCTGCTGTGCCTTTGTTTAAATCTGAACCATGGAAGCGATGTATCACATTTATTTTAAAGGAAATTCTGATCTGATTTGTTGATAGCATTTGCTGACTATTTTAAGTGGCTGAAGCAAATATTTAAATTTTCAATGAATTTTTTTTTCTCCAAGTAATAAAAATGGTGTAAAGGGATTTATTTATTCTGTTCAGGTATGGGAGGGATGTTCCAAATGACAAGTCTAGATTTCTCCTACCTTTTCCTATGTGCATGCACGTGTGTGTCTATTTGTAGACCTTGATACAAAACGAAACTCAGGGATCCAAAGTGATATACTAGATTGAATTGGCGCAGCACCTGATCTGTATACCACCCAATTCATGGCATGCTTGTTATGATTCTAGATATTGGTTCTGTTCTTATAATCTTATGCCGTAATCTTTCATTCTTTCTAGTTAATGGAGTGTATATGAACAACTTGTAGTACTCTGCAGATAATTCCTCCTGGAATGGAATTCCATCACATTGTTCCCCAAGAAGGTGACATGGATGGTGAAACAGAAGGAAATGAAGACCATCCAACTTCTCCTGATCCACAAATCTGGGCTGAGGTTTTAATTTTTCCTTTTTTTTTTGCTACCTTGTACATCCTAGATGGATGGTTAACACATTTTGGTTTGCTTCTGCTTTAATGGAAAATGTTCTTCTGTGAGTAATGTGCTTAAAGCCAGTGATCTATTCCCCATTGTTCATGTTATTGTCAAGTTGATGTCAGTTTAATTCTTGCTATGCTGCAGATAATGCGCTTCTTTACGAATCCTCGTAAGCCAATGATTCTTGCCCTTGCTAGACCAGATCCCAAGAAGAACATAACAACTTTGGTTAAAGCATTTGGAGAATGTCGTCCATTGAGAGAGCTTGCTAACCTTGTATGTTATAAGTGAACTAATGAGACTTGTTTGGTGGAGACATAATCTTAAATATGCTCTGCTGAATTTGCTTTGCTGTCAGGTCATCTTACCTAGGATTTTCCTTTTCCTGTTTCTTTTCCTTCTTCTCTCTCTCTGTTCTTCATTTTACAGACACTAATTATGGGTAACCGAGATGGAATTGATGAAATGTCAAGCACAAATGCTTCTGTTCTTCTTTCAGTGCTTAAGCTTATTGACAAATATGATCTCTATGGGCAAGTTGCATATCCTAAACACCACAAGCAGTCCGATGTCCCTGACATTTATCGTTTAGCAGCAAAGACCAAGGTATGCAGTATGCCTTGCAGTGTGTCAGATAAAACTGGACCCTTTCCTTTTTTTTCTCCTTTTTACATTAATTTCCTGCATTCTGCTTCTTCTCTTTCATACCTTTCATTATACGATTTTTTCCCTCACTGTTATTATGTATGAAATGAGAGCTGATCTATAAAAGGGAAATAATATAATCAATTAATCATATTCTAATGTTCAATTTTGTAAGTAATCACTTAGAACATAATAGCTCCTTTTATATCATTCTTGTTGCTCTTGTTTATTTCTTCTATTGTGGCATTTTTGATTTGAAGTAATTAGCTTGTTCAGCACAATGCTATTACTTGGCGCGTCAATTGATGCTAGACAAAAGAATTTTTATGATAGTCCAATTGTCATACCACATATTGTTAAATATCTTAGAAGCAGGTATGATGCTAAAACATAAAGTAGGATTATGATCACTAACATACACCAAACATAGCAGCTTGCAGATCAGCTCCGTACATGTCACTGGGTGGTACAGTGTTGATTGTTGACAGGCATATATTTTCGCTAACCCGTGAAAGCTATTTCATCTAACTCTATATTTAAGTGCAGGAAAGGTTAGATGTTACTTCTATTTGTATATAGTTCATGTGTCCTGGATTCCCGGTGCAAATATTTGCAAAGCTGGTATTGCATCTTTGTTGTACATGTTTTGTACAGGATATATACACAACTTAATCCATTGTTATAATTGCTAAGACTTCAGTTGTATTTTCCTCCAGTATGTGATTTGATATTAAATAGTATATTCTCTCCATTTATCTTTCGATTCCTACTTATCTATCAAAGATACATCAATTTGAACTTTGTACTCAGTTGTCACATTGTAATTGTTTATTTATGCAGGGTGTTTTCATCAATCCGGCTTTCATTGAGCCATTTGGGCTTACTTTGATTGAGGTGATCCCATTAACATTCTGAAGTTTATCTTTATGATTAGTCTGTAGGCTCATGCTATTTCCACAGGCTAATTTAGTAGGAACCACAGCCAATTAATTGCTCAAGAGTTGAAATAAACAAGAGTACCTTCCAACAAACAATTGCTTTGAAAAGTTGCAAATTTCCCAAGAAAGATAGAAAAGAAACAGTAAACGGAGTTTGACCTATATGTCAAGGGTAATCCAGATACATCATATTTCTTTTATCTGTCATTTTGAATTTCCTGTCTAATCCTATTAGTTGTGATAGAGATTTGATGTCTGCAAATTGAATCCCATTTTCTTTTTCCCTTCTTGTTTCGGCCAAAGGAAAAAATTAAAAATCTCTGGTATCACAAATTTTTGTTATTGTAATTTGTAAGTAATGGCTTCCATCTGTGTTCAAGGGATTCAAGATGATCTCTTTAGATGAATTGAGAAACTTAATGTTTGCGAATGCTACTTTTGATTGCAAGGATGTGATGGAACATTGAAATATGCAATGGATAAACCAATATTATCTCCTTTTGGCCTCCTTTGATCCTACTTTTAGCAAACTAACTAAGCTATGGCCCTAGTCCTAATATCTGTGGAAATAGCCTTAGCCTGTTTAATATTTATGACTGGAAGTGAACTGTTATTCTTTTGTTGGGCAGGCAGCGGCTCACGGTTTGCCCATTGTTGCCACAAAAAATGGAGGTCCAGTAGACATACACCGGGTATCTCATCAGAACATAATACTTGGAACTATCATATGTGTGTGTGCGCAATGCGCATGCATGTGATCTGTGAAATCTTCTGGTATTGATTGGAGTTATTTTTCTTAGGTACTTGACAATGGGCTTCTTGTTGATCCTCATGATGAGAAGTCTATTGCTGATGCTCTTCTAAAGCTTGTTGCTGACAAGCACCTTTGGGCAAAATGCCGACAAAATGGGTTGAAAAATATTCACCTATTCTCATGGCCAGAGCATTGCAAAAGTTACCTATCACGAATAGCCAGTTGCAAACCAAGGCATCCTCAGTGGCAAAAAGATAATGATGGAGCTGATACTTCAGATACAGATTCACCAGGTGATTCCTTGAGAGACATACATGATATATCTTTGAACTTGAAGTTCTCATTGGATGGAGAAAAGACTGGAGCCAGTGGAAATGATTCTCTAGAATTTGAAGGAGATGCTTCTGATAAAAAGAGTAAATTAGAGAATGCTGTTTTGGCATGGTCAAAGGGTGTTCTGAAGAACACCCAGAAGACTGGGTCCATAGAAAAAGGAGAACAAAACAACAGTTCTGGTAAGTTTCCAGCTTTGAGGAGGAGGAAACAGATTTTCGTCATTGCAGTAGATTTCGACAGCATTACTGGGCTTATAGAGGCAACAAAAAACATTTTTGAGGCTGTTGAAAGAGAAAGGAATGAAGGCTCAATAGGGTTCGTATTGTCAACATCACTGACGATATCTGAGATAAACTCGTTCCTTTGCTCGGGGGGTTTTAGCCCTAGTGATTTTGATGCCTTTATATGCAATAGTGGTAGTGACCTCTATTACTCAACTCTTAATTCAGAGGATGGTCCCTTTGTGGTTGACTTTTATTACCATTCACATATTGAGTACCGATGGGGAGGAGAAGGGCTGAGGAAGACTCTCGTTCGCTGGGCAACTTCAGTTACAGATAAAAAGGCTGAGAACAAGGAACAGATTGTTACATCAGCAGAACAACTTTCAACCGACTATTGTTATGCTTTCAGAGTGCAAAAGCCAGGACTGGTAATTTTTCTTTTGCATCCTACTTGCAAGCACCATTCTGGTTGTTCTTTTGCAAACCAAGGTCACTTTAATTGTCAAGACTTCATTGTCAGTTGTCTGATTTTGTTCACATGCACTAGCTTGTAATACAATTGACATATAGTCACAAATTTGCCTGTTACTTTCATCTGCTTGTCTTTTGAAGGTTTCCCCTGTTAAGGAACTCCGAAAGTTGCTAAGGATTCAAGCTCTCCGTTGTCATGCTATTTATTGTCAAAATGGGACCAGGATAAATGTTATTCCAGTATTAGCTTCTCGCTCTCAAGCCCTAAGGTAGAGTTTTCTACGTAAGCCAAGATACATGATATTGACTTCCATTTTCAACGTTACAATCTTATAAGCAGAACTAGGTACAGATTGTGAGACAACTCAACTGGCAAGCGTGAAGCAATTGTGGCTAAACTTGAGAGCCTTCATGGAGAATATATCTATTCTAATTTGGAATAATCTGATGCATTGAAATTTCTTTATTGACGTGTGATTAAACTTTAACATGATGTTCCCTTACATTCAAATTTATGGATTTCAGGTATCTATATGTCCGTTGGGGCGTGGAATTGGCAAAAATGGTAGTTTTTGTTGGAGAATCCGGAGACACGGATTATGAAGGATTGCTTGGTGGGATACACAAGAGTGTGATACTGAAAGGAGTCTGTAGTAATGCAAGTAACCAACTCCATGCCAACAGAAACTACCCTCTTTCAGATGTTATAGCATTGGATAACTCCAATGTTGTTCAGACAGCTGAAGAATGCAGGCCATCAGAAATCCGTAGTTCCTTGGAGCAATTAGGTTGTCTCAAGGGTTAGACTCTCATCGCCATTAAAATTTTTTCTGGAGCGTCCATGTTCGTGCAAGCATTCCGGTTAGCATTCCCATTATGGATCCTTAAGAGGCTTTGCTTGTGAGTTTCTACTTTCTGTTTATTCCATGTAGAGTCAATCCTTTCTTGCTTTTATTGGCATATGATGTATAATGGTCCATGACTTCATCATCAAAACATAATAAATTATGCACTTCTGCGTGGTGTCTCTATCAGACCACTGATGGCGAAGGTTAAATGTTATAACGTCCCAGAATGTTCATAAATGATTCTAATACATGAAAATAAGTCTTTTTCTTCCCGTCTTTGTCGGACATTTAGTCTTGGATGTTTAATGGGATAAATGAATATATACCCGTACTTTGTTCGGACATTAGTCTGGATGTATTAATGGATAAATGAATATATATATAGTTATATATATTATATATATAAATATTTCAACTTTAAAAGAGTATTCTGTATTTAGAATTCATCTTGTCGTTATTTTTGAATTTTTATATATTTCAACTTTAAAGAGTATTTCTGTATGTTAGATCATCTGTCGTATATTTTGATTTTGTTATATAATACATATTTAATAATAAACGATTAAATAAATAATTAGATAAGAATGAATGATATAATAAATTTGTTCATAAATAATTTTATGAAGCAAGAGGCTTGGCTAAAATTCCTTTACATATAATAAGTATTTTGTTTTTTTCTTTCGTCGTCACCAATTTGGCTAGTATGCCTTTTCTGGTTCTGAACGAAGAAATTTAGAAATACCATTAAATGTAAACAAAGAAAGAAAAGGAAGCAACTCTCACTGAAGTAAATCATCATCGTCAAACACAACTGAGAAATAAAATTAGGAGGGACAAGCTGCTTAGACATGAACAAAATCAAAGCTTTTAAAATCAGAAATCTGTTTAGTTCTTCTTAAGCTCTTGTCCACTTGTCATTTCTACACCTTGTCTTCTGCTTTTCTATTTGGATTCTTGTTTTTCAAAATCTTCTTTTTCAAAATATTCTTCCAAAAAATTCACCAGAGACATTATGTGAATAGACCCTATTAGAACTCCCCATGCTATATGGTCAGCTTTATAAGCCATAACAGCATGATATACAGATAAGCTTAAAAACAGGTTAGTTATACCCAAATCAATCTTAGGGCGCAGAGATATGTAGTAGCAAAATGATGACATGGATAAAAAGACGAGAGCAAGCACCAAATCCTGTTTATCATCTTTAAAAGAAGAGAAGATGAAATTCAAAAATGCAGACAAGTTTTACCTCCACATCCATACTTATTTGTTAGAAACGAAGCATACACTTTTGCTTTCACTACGAAGAGGTAGTGAGAAACCAGATAATAGATAAGAAGTGCAACAAAAACCAACCAACGATAGAAAGTATGTTCATCCGCTATGTACTCAAAACACCCTAATATGCTCCATGCAAATCCTAAATCACCAAAAAGAAGCCTTTCTCCAGAATCCACCATTTTTGTTGAAGAGAGGAATGGAGAAGTAAAGAGAGAGAGAGAGAGAGAGAGTTGAGAGAGAGAGAGGGGCAAGGAAGAATTATCTCTTGAGCTCTTTTATTAATCTATTTTCTTATTAGAAGAACAAGATTACATTTTTCTTCTCTCAAGTAAAAAAAAAAAAATCTAATTCTTTTTAGATTTTTCTATAATTAGACAAGGATATTATCCCATTAGATAAGGAAGGATATTTCTGTTAATTAGGGAATATTTATCATTTAATTTAAAAGTAGTATTGGAAGGCAAATCAAACTCCCTACTATAAGGTTAAGGATTAATTAAACTGGTTCAAAATTTCTGTTGTTACTGCAAAATGACAACCAAAACGACAGAAACTTCCCCCAGTTAGGTTTCTTAATTTTCAGTTCACCATGTTGTATTTGCTTCTGTTTTTGTTTAATCTTATCCTTTTCTCATTAAAATTAAAATATGCATTATCAAATTAAAATAAATATTCTAATTTATAATTTCTCTACTCATAAATTTCCCGCATTTCGTGTTTTTATGTGTGAGTATCATGTCTTGTTTCAGTACATAAAACTCTAGCATTTCATGTCTTTATGTGTGGTATCATGTCTTGTTTGAATATATAAAATTCTCCTATTTTTCTCGTTCATTTTTCTGCTCCCTCTATTTCTTTTCTTTTTCACGTCTTTTACTTCAAATTGATTTTCAAATTTAATTTCTTTTTCTAAATAATTCAAAGCATGCATTTATTATTTTTTTTTACTGTGTAATATCTTGTGTTATACAACCGTACTTTGAAACTTTCTTTTCAATTTTCGATTTAGCTATAAAATAAAAATAGTGAAAATTTAAAATTTTTTTCGCTCCTCGACATTTTATGTTTGAGTCTATTAAGCGGTCTCACTTTTTATAAGAACAAAAAATATAATTTCGATCTTTAGGAAGCTCATTTGTATATAAAATTATTGAATATTAAAAATAATTATTAGAGCACATAAATATTAAGCTTTGTAGTAAGTTCGAAGAGAGAAATAAGAAAAAATTATAATTCTACTTCACTTATAATCGCACTTTTTTTTTTATTTATCTCAAATTATAGACTATTTTTTTTAAGTACAATTGATTTATTAATTCTCTAATTAATATGCTTCTATTTAATTTGTCTTATTATTAAATATTAATAGTTTCCCTATGATTTACAATAACACGCGGGCTTAGGTTGGGCCTTGAATGGCTCCACTCACGAGAACCAATAGAGTATACACAGGATAATGGGCTATAAGGAGCCCAGTTCTCTATCCTTCCTGTGTGGCTTCAATTAATTTACGAACAAACTGTCCTACTTAATGAAATAAATTTGTTTGCTTTGAATTTATTTATTTATAAAAAGTTTACAATGGTAAAATATTTTATCTAATTATAAATATTATTTAATATTTGCTAAGAGGTGGAAAAAAAAAAAAAAAGAAATCAGGTGATAGGATATTTATAAAAGAAAAAAAAAATCATCAAACTCCTGTCAAAGTATATCTCCGGTATTGATTCGCTCAGAAGTAGCCAAATTGGTGAAGCTGTGGAAAAGCTGCGCCTTTCTTCCTCTTCACTCTCTCACCAATCAGAGAGCTGACCAGACAAAATGAGCGGTGCCAAGGGTGAAATTTCCGGCGAAATCAGCGCTTAATTGCCGACGCGACAGCCAATGGAGACAAAAAAAAGCGCTCTTCATATGAGTTCAGGACAACTAAAAGGTTTACTTATTTAAAATATTCTATTTTAATGTAGCCTTTTTTTAATAAAAAAAAAAACTATAGTATAATATAATATATTAAATTCAATAATGTACTTGCTATCATTCAAAGTAATATTATAATTATCATAACTAACAAGAGAGATACAAGCGAAATGATCGCATGTTGTCACGGATTTCTCACGTTTTCATTTGAATTAGTAAATAATGCATTTTTTTTATTACGCGTAATTGAAAATATTTATGTGAATAAATATATATATAAAATAGTATTTTTATGGATTGATGTATATTATATAAGGACATTGATGTTGTAGGTTTAGTTATACATTTATATTAAGTTAACAGTTCAAAAGGTTATTCAGCAGCCATCTTTCGTACATTCGAGAAGACATTGTCCAAAACGTTATTTATATGGACAACGTTCGGATTTTCTTCTTGCCGGTACGATATCACCAAATATAGCAAATTCATAATTATAATTTAGATTTAAAAAGTTAAATTTGGAGATGAATTACTTTCATGATTGTAAAATACACTTTAACTGTGCATTTCAAGTAGTAGAGCTCTAAAAGAGTACGTGCACTTACATAACAATATGAAATATAAAACTTACAATGTCATGAGCGCTTATATTTTATACCAAATGTAAACATTATTATTTAACAGTTTTCTAATATCTATATCATTCAAAAAAGAGTTTGAAGACAAAAGAAAAATATGTGTTAAATGCAAAAAAAATATATATATTTTTTGCTTGTTGATAATACTAAATATATCAAAAAAGAGTTTGAAGACAAAAGAAAAATATGTGTTAAATGCAAAAAAAATATATATATTTTTTGCTTGTTGATAATACTAAATATAAAATTTCTATTGTGTTGTTTAAACATTCTAAACTCTCAAAGAAAGATATGATTGTAAAGTATACTGTACCTATATTGTTTTTTGTACACAACAAAATACGTTTGAAAATTCCCGAGCAAAAAAACATTTCCATCCCAGGCAATAGAATTCCAAAAGAGTCTATACACATCTATAAATTAAACCAAATAATAATATATAAGAGATAGGAAAAGTTTTCTAGAAATAATAATGGTTGTTTTGAGTCAAAAGAAAAATACATGTTAAAATTTTAAGTTAAAAAAGGCTATTTATATGCAAATAGTCACATATTCTTTTTGCTTGTTTAACAATATATATTTAAGGTTAAATTATTTTTGTTCATTTAATAGCTTTGTCAATTCAAAGAATACTCTATATTATAAAAGGACATAAAGAGTGTATTATTTACAAAAAATCATTATGTTGAATCTCTGCTCAAGCTTAAAGATAAATTATTTTTGCAAATATAAATTATACTTTACCTGTATTATTGTTTTTAATATACAGCAAAAGTGTCTGGGAAGTCATTGGCGTAGTAGATTATTGCAGAGAGAATAGAAGCAGAGTTAGATTCATATGATTCGTAAATAGTATGCCATCGGTATGCATTAGAATCTCTGCTCAAGGGACTCTTAAAGACTAGCTTAATGATTTCGTACGCCAGAATCCATAAAGACTATAGTTCAGGTACTATAAATTAAACCAAATAATAATATATAAGAGATAGGAAAAGTTTTCTAGAAATAATAATGGTTGTTTTGAGTCAAAAGAAAAATACATGTTAAAATTTTAAGTTAAAAAAGGCTATTTATATGCAAATAGTCACATATTCTTTTTGCTTGTTTAACAATATATATTTAAGGTTAAATTATTTTTGTTCATTTAATAGCTTTGTCAATTCAAAGAATACTCTATATTATAAAAGGACATAAAGAGTGTATTATTTACAAAAAATCATTATGTTGAATCTCTGCTCAAGCTTAAAGATAAATTATTTTTGCAAATATAAATTATACTTTACCTGTATTATTGTTTTTAATATACAGCAAAAGTGTCTGGGAAGTCATTGGCGTAGTAGATTATTCACATCCAAAAAGCTATTTGTCTCCAAAAGTATCTACATTCGAAATGTTATCTGTATTCAAGAGAACTATTAGTTCAAAAGGATTAGTTT